AATTCTCACAAAATTCTTAAGCCTCAATGAAGACTTCTCCTTAATCCATGTTCCAATGTCTTCTTACATATATTGATAAACTTGTGTATACTCTTCTGCCATAGATGAGAGATGGAAAAGAAGAGGGGAGAGCGTACCAATAGTTTATAACTCGTACATGGAAATGAAGATGGAGATGGAGAACACATAAATGAAAAAAAAAAAAAAAACCCATAGATTGAGAGATTTAGAGAAAAACCAAGGATTGAGTGATTTAAATGTTAGAGTTGAAACGCACCAAGAGAAGGGGAAGGGTTTTTGAGTTAAATGTAAACATTAATTTGCAAAATTATTAAGGAAAAAAATCAAAATATGGAAAAAAGAGAAAAATATGATCTTTACGTCGAGGAGATGCCACGTCAGCATATCATGATTCTGCTTTATAGATATATATAGATTCTTATATGATGTTGTGGTTTTTTTGTATTAAATTAAATTCATTTTGGTTTTAGGTTTATTGAAAATGTTTGAGATTTAAACATGTATGGTCTCTTACATATTTAATTTGAAATAACTTACATAAACGTGGAAAAATCCTCGTTTTCCCGTTGGGGATGATGATGCGATTATATTCCCCAGCGGGGACGGAGATATAGATAAGTAATCGGGGATGGGGACGGGATTGAGGTCTCCGCCCCATTCCCATGCCTAGCTAAGACAAACAACCACAACCCTCCACATCGATCTCTTAGAAGTTACATATCTAATATTACAAGTTCGCTTGTAACCTACCTCCACATTGATCTTTTTGTGTAAACCTCACCATCTGTGGAAATGACATTCCAATGTTTAAGTCGATTTCAAAGGCAAGAAACCATAATGAATAAACCTGCTTGGTTCATTTCAAACTTGTACAATACCCAATTTCTTCTTCTTTGATCTAGTGCTCGCCCCCCCCCCCCCTCCCCTTTGTTCGTTTTCTGTAAAGTAAGTTATAATCATACACAGTACACACCATTTTGTTAAAAGTAGAAGAAACGATGAATAAAGAAAGGGAAAACATGATTGGATGATCTTAACTCTGTATCCAATGGAGAAATTACATATAGTGGTCATGTCCCACTTTCAGAGCAAAATGCAAACCTGAAAAATAATGAAATTTGGGTCTCACTTTCAAAGATTTCATGAGGAGGGACCAAAATTGTAGTTTACTCAAAACTAAAAATAGAAATTCATAATTTATTTAAGACAAAAGGAACACTATTTTAACGTTTATGTAGTTGTACAAGAAAAAATAGGTCCACTCGTGATACTGATATATCTTTGAAATTGTCTTCTCTTTCCTTTTTTTCTCCTAAAATATGCTTGTTTTTTATTTTAACTATAACTAGTTGTGTACTCGCGTAATGCGACGAGATATAAAGGTTTTATCAGGATACATACATATTTGGATCTATCACAGTCTTGGTTAAAGCCGAAGAACTCAAAAAAATCATTGAAAATATTAGTGTTGTCCGGATATGTTAAAGTCGTCCGGAATCCTCCTCTCCGGACATAGTATTGTCTGGACAAGACAATTAATTTCACAGTGATCTCTACAAAAAGTATAGAGGGAATGGCGGTGTAACCGCGATAGAAAGAACGACGGTGTAACCGTGATAGAGGAAATGGTTGTATAACCATGATAGAGGAAATGACGGTGTAACCGCGATAGAGGAAATGACGGTGTAACCACGATAAATGAATGATGGAATGTTATATTAAGATCCAGGTTTAATATATACTGGATCCGGAAATATGTTATGCTTAAGGAAAATATACTCACTAGACCTTTTGGTCTAACGCTCAATTATTGGACTAATCTGTTTTGCAGGTCGTCCATCATTCCAAGATAAAAGGGAAAAATGTAAATAAATGTTAATTAGATGAAAATGTTGTGATTGATAAAGTTTTTGTTAATCCATATTTTCTTTTGTCATGTAAACCTATGAACATGGAATGTACTACGACAATTATGATGACGAAATGAGTATATTATATGAATTTATATCGTTACTAGCATAGTGGGTTGTTTCACCTTGTGATTCACATGTAAACAATGTTAACTAATTCACATATGAAACCATGTGATTTACATATTAACTAATTAATTGATTCACATATGAACTAATCACATGAATTCATATATGAATCCATTTGTCGATTGTTTGTAAAAATTATGAAACCATCTTTTTATCTTTTGCATATATATGCGAGGAATTATTCGATATTTCATAATCAAAGCCGCAAATGTTGAACAGATGAAAGCTAGAACCACTTCTTTACTTCTCAAATGAACATTTTCCCGTATATGTATGTATATGTATGTAATTGATATACCTATGTCATTCCACATAATAAAAGAAAAAAATTAAAAATTAAATAATCGATTATTAGTGATGGATCCTCCAATCCGTCATAAATCTGCCACATTTTTTTTTTAAATTTAAATGAATAATTTTGAAATCCATTTATTAATACTTGTGTCGTATTGGAGGATAGACCGGTAATTTTTATCAGAATTGTTAATTATTTTGAAAATTATAATTTTTTACCCGTGATTAGTGGCGGATTGAAGTAAATCTCTTTCCTTGTATTAATTAATTAATTTTTTTAATTAGTTTATACTAGTGACATATATTAATCTATACTATTTTATAAAACATTTAATAAAAACTCTTAAAAACATTTTTTTATGCATAAAATATTGTTTATTGATGCATATTACTTAAAATTGAAGATGACAAGTAGAACATGTGTGAGTATATCTTATTAAAACTTCATGTGTAAATCATGTAATTAAGTGCAGATAAACATAATCAAATACATGATATAAAAAAAATCTAAAATAATAATTGAGTTCTAACAGAAAAATTAATTATTATCTTAAAAAAATTATTATATTAAACCAAAAATAATTAGTTTGTTATTAAACTTTAATTAAATTATAATAAAAAAATTGAAAAAAAAAATATACACAAAAACGAGAGCTTTTAAATAGTTAATTTAATACTAAAATCAATTATTATTTTTTTCAAAATTTTATAATATCTTCAAGTTTATATTTCATTCAAAAATAAAATATTTTTTTTTCTTCTCAAAACCACATAAAATTGCATTATAACATCGATAAACCCAAAATATAAAACGAAACATTAAAATCAAGATGTATCTCGCTGCATGCACCAATATCATTCTAGTTAACTATAATCCTTCATTAATATTACTTAATGTAAAACTAACTAAATATTCTTGTAAAAGTATACAATTTTGTGACGGATCATTTTCAATAATAATTAAAAAATCCGTCACAAATATGCAGAAAAAGATATCGAAATTAAATTTTTATTTTTAAAAAAAAATCAGTGGCAGATTTATAGCGGAAATATATTAAAAGTCGACTTTTTCTGATACCCACCAAATCTGCAACTGATTTTTTTGACAAAAAGTATGTTGTCGTAAAAGCCAAATTTCAGTAAGAAATCACTGACGGGATTTATGCCGTATGTGATTTTCGTCAGTTTGTTGTCCAGTAGTGCATTGTTAGCGTATTCGACCTTTCTCCAGTTAAATAAAAAAGACCTGGTTGAGTTTACTAGTCAATTTTTATAAGTAAAATAATAATTAATATATTAAATATGATTAAAAAAACCATTTTATTAAGATGATGATTAGTTCCGGATACAAGAAATTTCTTGAGCAAGTGCATCTTTAAGGTCGACGCGATTTGATCCGAAAGAAAGTCAATGATGTTGCTTTCGTGAATAATACATTTTTTTCAATTAGAGATGCAATAAGCAATAACATATAATGAATGACCAATTTTTTTTTATTTTCTTCTCCAATATAATTAGTTGATATATTTTTTGGTCCTTATTATCTACTAAATTCTTTTTGCCTCTTATTATATGCTATAACTTTTTGAGTTTCTTTAATTTATTAAATTCTTTTAGACTACTATTGTATTTTAAGGGGAAAATTTTGAACCCCTAATATTTTTGGGCCCTGACGTGTGCCCGTGCTACCCTCTCGCAGTGCGGTGATTTTATCATAATTTTCTAGTGATTCTATCGACTCGCGTAGTCGCGTATATATGTAATTTATACTATCTTATAAACCAGATTTATCAAAAGTCTTAAAAACAATTTTTAATGCATAATGTACTATACATTTATGCACAAAGTCTTAAAAACAACTCATAATGCATTAAGTAACAACTCATAATGCATTAAGTACTACTACTTTATGAATCTAGTCTTAAAATCTCTTAATCTACAATTAAAATAACATATATTGCAAGTTACCAATGTGTATTATTACATTTTCTTTTCATGTTTTCATGATACTTTTGACACCTTTCACTCATGCTTTCACCCTCTTATACCTCTATGTCTTCTTCCCATCCCCCAGGGTGAGATTCAAACTGATATTCATCATGAGTTATTAAAATTTATCTCATTCATCTTTCATTCAATTGTTCTAGAACTCTCGGTCTCACTCTCGATCTCTTGATTCTTTGTTCTTGGTGTAAATCGAACACATTTGTGGAGTCGTTTAAATATGTTGGATTTTAAGTATATTGGATTTTAAACTGTCATACAATTTTTTTCATCAATAGACTGTAATTGGAACCATAAACTCTTATTTATTCAAATTGTATTAATATGTAAAGACCAAATGTAACTTATATCATCGTTAAATATTATATAATAAAACCAGTGAAACTTCAAAATCGTTAAAATTCACGTCTCTCGCCGCATTGCACGGGTACATAACTAGTACTAAGTAAAACACGATAAATTAAATAATTTTCATTTGTTCAAAGTATGTTGTAGAAGCAATTCCAGAGCTCTTAAATGACTAGTAGACAACAATGATTTGAAACATAATAGAAAGTGTCTGAATAATACATCTGAATGAAGAAAATAGATATATAAACAAAAATATTGTCTTAACAATCTAGCTTAGCTAGTGCCTAGTGGTATATATGTGTAGTAACATACAATTAAGCTATTAGATTTTACCTATGCAGCCAACCAGCAAGATCTAAAGGAAGCAGTAGTACTACAAAATTGCTCCCTTTTCTTGAATGTATGGCCTTCTGATCCTATATGTATATGAACTCATCAGTTGTTTCTGGGTGGGTGAGATCTTGGCACATGGTAATCAGCATTCAGAGCCATGAAGGCTGACTTCATTCTCACTTCTACATGGTGATCATGATCATGATCATGATCATGGTGGTATGTCTTATTCTGTTTCTTTTTGGGCATTTTATGATCCCCATTTCTAGGGTTTGAACTTGAAGAAGAAGGTTTGGGCACTTTACCACCACCATTTCTAGGGTTTGCACTTGAAGAAGTTGTTTTCTTGGAAGCCATTTCTTCGCCATTTATACGTTGTTCATTCACCATCTTCATCGTCTTTCTCCCACCAATTCTTTTGCCATTCATCATCACATCAACTCTCGTGGGAACCGCTTTCAAAGCATCCTGAAAACGGTATCCTGAATATCAGTATAATGAGAAAACAAATACGATTGTTCGAAAATCAATACATCATAAACAAGAACATGAACCAACGCTCTAAAACCAATCAACTCGTTGAACACAAGTATATGACGCAACCCCAAACCATTCGATATACCTTCTCTTGTCGAGACAACATGGTCGTCGTCCTTTCTTCGAATCTGTCTCCAGCCACCGACACCGACACCCTTTTCTCAGTATCTACAAAAACGCAAAACAAAACCTTTGATTTGTATACGCATATAACGAAAACCCTTTAAAACTATTATGGGAAATCATAGAGCTTTATATATACCTTGAAGAGAATATGCAAGAAAGTGAAGTAAGATGAAGAAAATGGCAAAGACAAAGACACCACCACCACATCTTATGGAAGCCATTTTTGTGGTTTGTATGTATGGTTTGCATGTATGCTTTTAAGAGCAAAAAGAGATGCAAAAAATGGGATCGGAAGGAGAGCATTCGTCATTTGTAGACCCAAGATTCAAGTCAAAGTCAAAGTCAAAGATATATTATTTTAATTTTTAAAGCTTTTATCCCAATAAAAATATATAAAATAATGGGTACAAGAAGCACTTTTTGGAGACAAATTGGTGTTCAAACTGTTTACATTAAAATACGCAAATACTAAAAATTGCGGTTTCACATGATAAACTATTTTATGAGTTGATTATTAATTTTGAAAATTAATTCATTGATTTTAATATCTTGATTTAATGATTTCGTGGATCGAAATAATTCCTAACGTTGAATTAATCAGTAAAGGTTTCTATTTAAGGTAAATGTCATATTTAATATATTATTGGTTGTTTACCAGCGCAATACGGTTGGAGCCGTGAATTTTAATGATTTTGAAGTTTCACTGGTTTTATTAGAGAAGATTTAACGATGATATAAGTTACACTTGGTCTTTATTTATTAATACAATTTCAGTAAATAAGATTAGGGTTCCAATTATAGTCTATCCATAAAAAAATTGTATGATAGTTTTAAATCCAATATATTTAAAATCCAATATATTTAAACGACTTCACAAATGTATTCGATTTACACCAAAAGCAAAAAATCAAGAGATCGAGAGTTCTAGAGCAATTGAATGAGATAACTTTTAATAATTCATGGTGAATATTAGTTTGAATTCACATTGGGGGATGGTAAGAAGATATAGAGATATGATAGGGTGAATACATGAGTGAAAAGAGCCAAAAGTATCTTGGAAACATGAAAAGAAAAGAAAAGATAATAATGTGCATTGGTAACTCGTTTATTTTAATTGTTTTTAAGACTTTTGATAAATCTGCTTTATAAGGTAGCATAGATACAATATTATTAGATAAATTTGATACGGTTAAATATATATAAAAGGGGTTGTGTGTGATGATCGACAATCGCATAAACGAGTTATCGAAAGTATGTTTTTCCCAACACAAAATCTCGACTGCAAAGTTAGTAATTATATCATAAAGTTTTTATTTTATTTAATACACATTTGAAAAATATTTAATTAAATGAAACATCTGAAATTGATATATTTTTTTTATTAATAGGTATTTTGATTTATATCTTATATACATAAAAGATAATGTTTTTTATATCCAACTTTTTACCTTCTTATGATATGCATACAAACCCTCTTTATTACCTTCTAACGATATTTATCTTTTTTATTGGAACATCTTAACAATATATATATAAATATATATATATATATATATATATATGAGCTTATTCAAGGGAGAACTGAGTTGTTTGTGGTAACTGTGAGAACTAATCTCAATCAATCATTTTAACATATTAATTATACAATTAAAATCAAATTAAAAGGGTATGTTAGTCAATTCCTAATTTAAAATTAAAATTTAATTTTTTAAATGCAACCATTTCAAATAAAATAAATTAATCTTGATTTACATTCCTAAAATAAAATATTAATATCATTTAGTGAAATAATTTCAAAAAAATAAATCCATTTGTGTAAACATATTCATTATTCTGATGAATCACATGAAATCACACATATTTGTTGAAGATTGTATCCATAATATTTAAGAATATTATCACAATGTATCACACCAATTTGTACTAATGTTGTTAATACATCTGCAGATTTTAAGGTGTTGTTAACACAATGTAGCACAAATTGATTATCACAATGTGCAGTCAAATATTATTACAAAGGCTAAATGTTATCACAATGTATCACACCATTTTCCAACAGATTATGATCAACACTAAATGTACCACAATGTAGCACAAATTGAGATTACTCTAGGGCTTAAGACAATCGTCTCCGTCTCAAATACAGGAAAGTATCTTCACTATATTTGGATTCCAATTGAACAAGAATATTAACGTACAAAATGACCATCTTGCCCTTGTTCATATAATGTCATTAAATGACAGTAATTTATTTATAGAAATACATTAATTAAGATTCTTTTTAATCTTACCCATTGATTATTATAATATGTGGTTGAGATTGGTTTTTACAGTTATCACAAACAATTCAGTTCTCATTTGATTAAGCCCCTATATATATATATATATATATATATAATGGGCCTAATCAAATGAGAACTAATTAGTTTGTGGTAACTGTGAGAACCAATATTAACCACAAATCAATAGATAAATTAGGAAATTTATAATTTTGGCAATTTTGAATTAAAATATTAATGCAATGATATTTTTGGTAATTTAAAACTTTCCTCCCTCCTCTCTTCTCTCTCCGGCTACCGTCCTCCGGTGATACTACAATGGTATCACAATGCATCATATATGTGCTTGGGTATCACATTGATGTCGTTTGTGTGGTCGATCGAAGATGTAACACAGTGATATCACTATGCATCTTATATATGATTAGGTATCACAATGTATCTTTTGTTTAACAGAGTCAATATTTTTAGGTATCACAGTGGTATCATAGTGGTATCACCGGAGGACGGTGGCCGGAGGCCGGAGAACGGTGGCCGGAGAGAGGAGAGAGGAGAGTTTTAAAATACCAAAAATATCCTTGCATTAAGATTTTCATTTAAAATTACCAAATTTATAAATTTCCTAATTTATCTATTGATTTGTGGTTAATATTGGTTCTCACAGTTACCACAAACAACTCAGTTCTCCYTTGAATAGGCCCCTATATATATATATATATGCGTTCAAATGAAAACCGCTTCCATTTATGTAAACCATGTAAACCAATCTCATCCATCTATTTTCTTGATCAATGGTCAAGATTAGTTTACTTTATTTTAGGAAATTAAAAAATATATATATTAAAATTTTATTTTTATATCAGCAATAAGAGCAAAATGGTAAACAAAAATACATATTATGTAACATCCTATTGAAGGACATTATTCTTTATTTTAGAAAATTAAAATTTTCTATATGTTAGGAAATAGTTTCGTTAATGCAGCAACCTTTTTATTCATTATCCTGAAACTGTTTCAATGTCCTTCACACACCCATGTAAATATGCACCCTATTCATTATGAAATTATTTCAAGACGCACTGGTTTCATCATGAATCCATTCAACATGTAATTATTTCATGACAAACCGCATACATTATGCACCCGTTTCATTTTGCATTTCACCTACTAAATGGATCAACTACACCATCACTGGAATGAGGTTCACCATCAAACCAGTTCACTACTCATTGTTCAATTACGTCATGAACTAGTTTCACCTTCATGAAACTTGTTTCATGTACATAGATTAATTTATTTCGCTCCTGATTTGATGAATTCATTCAATTAATCCTTACAATCTTAAAGATTCTGTAGCAGATTACAATCTTCAAGATTATGGAGCAGATTCATCATATACCCGTTTCATCATGCAATTATTTCATGACGAACCAAATACATTATGCACCCGTTTCACTACTCTTGGTTCAGTTACGCCATGAACCAGTTTCACCTTCATGAAATCTAATTCATGTACATTAATTTTCTTATTTCACCCGTGATTTGATGAATTCATTCATTTAACCCTTACAATCTTCAAGATTCTGAAACAGATTACAAACTCTAAGATTCTGTAACAGATTCATCATGTACCCGTTTCATTATGCAATTATTTCATGACAAACCAAATACATTATGCATCCATTTCATTTTCCACTTCGCCTACTAAATAGATCAACTACACCATCAATGAAACGGGTTCACCATGAAATTTTTTTACTACTCATTGTTCAATTATTAAATGAACCAATTTCATTTGTATTAATTTCTTTTTTATATCATGATTTGATGAATTCATTACATTATGTCTTACAATCTTCAAGATTCACCATTATAATATAATTAAATATTTAAATGTTACCATTTATAAAATTTTCTTTATTACGTTTCTTTAATTAAGATTTATTAATAATTTCCATATTTAATTAAAAATATTGTAAATAACCGAAATACCCTTATTGATTAAATTTAATTAGAAAAAAATAGAATTTTCCTATTGGTCGAAATTAGTTTACACGGTTTCTTAGAAATGTACGGTTTTAATTTGAACGTGCCCCTATATATATATATATATGCGTTCAAATGAA